CAGGAATTTTCCAGGACAAGCACACAGTACATTTCAAGATCAGAAGCTTCATACTATATTTGGGCACAGCCAAGGGTACTATATTCCTTTTTTTTTTAAAAAATAAAATGGTTCTCAACTTACTCTGCTGCCTCTGACCCAACTTTCAAACATCTGAGACATCCATGAATTTTCCTTTCTCCCAGGTCCTTCACTTGCTCATACAACACCTCTTAGATTCCTCAACATTCTAAACTTTCTCTAGTTAATCAGACACCCTCATACAGCTGACTCTCATAGTTGAGCACAAGACTGCAGATGTATCCCGACAGCAGGTAAACGGGTGGTAAGTCCTGACATCCCTGTCTTTGAACACTTTTACTTCCATTCATGCATTAGCATTTGGAACAAATAGCCAGGACTGCTTTGAATTCAAATATAACCCTCCATCACCTAAAAACTTTTGGATTTTTAAAATACATGTATTTATCATACCATTAAGTTGATTTTTTCTTTTTGATTACAGTTCTATGAATTTTAACACATAGATTTTTGTTTAACTACCACAACTGGGACTCATCAGGCTTTTAAGGTTGAGTTTACATTAAAAAACACCCATAAGACTTTGCATATATACCTATTTAGCTTAATCCAGAGTCAACCACCGGTTATGTTTTAATCTTGAAACCGTATTGCATAAACTGTGACTTCCGACCTCTCCTGGCAGATTCCTGACAGCGCCCAGGGCTCAAGTCAACCCTTATTGTTTCTTTTAATAATAAAAGTGTATGCAGAGATACTTAGATGTAATGGTTTTCCTTTTTAAAGTTTGCTTTTATCTTCCTGGTAATCCCAAACATTCAAGGAGAGCCATTCTACTCAAAGGAAGCATTGTCTTAAAATTACAAAGCTCAGTGGGTGTAGCAGATAAAGAGTTTTTAAGTCAGATCCGAGTCCCAGCGTCCTCATTTAACTTTGTTGTCTTGGACAAATCACTTCATTTGTCTACTATTCATTCAGAGACTGTAAAGTGAGGAGAGCAGTAGTAACTTCCTCATAAATCCAAATCACGAAGATTAAAGGATACTTGCCCCTGCGGTGGGGTGGTTGCTGCTCAAGAACTTCCTCCTCACGCTGGGGTTGGGACAGAGCCTGCACAGGCTAAGCAAGCGTTCTACAACTGAGCTACAACCCCAGCCCTCTGCTCTTATATCCCACTCCCACAAACAAGTATCCTCCCATGAGGAACGAGTTTGCATGTTTAAGATGAAAATCTGAAGATTAACGTCTATTTGTTCCTCAAAAACGAGTAACGGGAAGTTGAGTAACTTGTCACCTCCCCATCCTCACCCCACCGTCCCTGGTCCAGCACCTTACCCAGTTGACACCCATAGCTGTGCAAATTTGCATGCAGTACCCTGGTGTCTCGTCTAGGGAACTAAAAGCACCTGCTCTAACTCCGGAGGTCCAAGAGAAAACGTTATTTATAGCAGGGGCCTCAGAAAAGCGATTGGCACACAGCAGGCGCTACAAACACCTGTTAGGCAAACGAGCGCCGGCTCACTCACATCTCGGTGAATGTGGTGGTGCAACTTCCTCTCCTACAGAAGGTGTTAGGGGGGAAGAGTTAAGTAATTAATGTTTGCACTCCAGCTTTGAATTTAAGCAATGAAATCACAAATTTCTTTTGTAGCGAAGGGGAATGTTTACATCGTGGGGATTCATGCCTGCAAGTACTATTTCCAAACCAGCAGCAGGGCCCCTGCCTGCTGGCAACCCAATTCCTGGGTCCTTCCAACCAGCACGGAACCCGCCCACACCCAAACCTCCTAGACCTGCCCTTCTCAGCCAGAGTTCCAAGGTCTCCTCTACCCTTCCATCCTCTTTCCACTTCCAGGCCTTGTACCCGCTCAACGCCCAACTTCAACGCCCAACCTCAACGTCCAGCGCCCAACGTCCGGCCTCCAACAACTGGAAGCCCCGTCACCCTCACGCAGCCCCTCTCCCTCACCCTGGCGCCTGGGAACCCTGACCTGGAAGGAGGCGAAAGGGCCGCTGACCCCAGCCTGTCTCTGAAGCCTGGCCGTGGTGGAGGCTGCCAGTGCTGGGAGCCCCGCGGCCCAGGTGCTCTCCCCGCGCTCCCCTCGCCCCTAATGTCTAGCCGGCCCTCGCAGTTCCAGCGCGGCGCCTGCGCAGTCCGCGCCCACGTGCGCCCGCCACGCCCCACGTGCGCCCTCCCTGGGCCAGGAAGCCGCGCTCTGGCCCTTGGGCGCGTTCTGTGGTCTTGAGCTTCAGGGGGTGGTCTGGGGCTGCGGGTGCCGAAGTTCTTCTGCCCAAACGTGGCCAAGTTGTTGTTCTGGTTTGTTTGTGAAAACCATTCGGATCCCTTTGGCCACTTGAAAGTCTTTTGAGGGGCCACTTCTGCCTGGTCATGGAGAGTAAATTCACCTGTTGTGGGTGTTTGTGTCTAATTAAGGGCATGTGATTCTATCTGTTGGTGTTGCTCAAACATTTTTTATCTTTATTTTTTTGGTATAAAACTTTTATGGCATATTCAAAGGAATGGTATACCCCCAGTGCACTCTTCACCTAATTTCAACATTATCAATTCATGATCAGTTTTGGCGACATCTGCATTCCAGTCACTCTTCCTACAACGTTTTGATACAAAAACCAGACTTGTATTTTTAAAAAATATATTGTACTTTTTTTTTTTTTAGAAAATGTGGAGACGTGTAGTACAAATAAGAAAGTTCAGAGTTCCCCTTATTATTAAATTATTATTATACATTTCTTACACTTACGGAATCAATCTTGATATATTGTTAACTAAAGTCAGTGGTCTATTCAGATTTCCTTATGTTCTCCCCCTACCTAAGCTACTTGTGCCTTTTTGGAATCAGGATCTCAACCAGGATACTACATTAATTTAGTTATGTCTCCTTAGGCTCTCTTTGTCTGTGGCTGTTTCTCAAATTTTTCTTTGATGACCAGGAGTCAGGCTTTTTGCAGGATGCTGGCCCCACTGTTGATATCCTTCTCATGATAGAAATGGAGTCATGGATTATTGGAATAAAGTGCTATTTTCGTTGATCATATCAATTGTATACCCTTCAAACATTATTTCTATCTTAGTATTACTTTTTTTTCCTGGAAATATGGATTGAACTCAGAGGCTCTTTATAACTGAGCTACATCCCCAGCTCTTTTTTTATTTTGAGGTGGGGTCTTGCTAAATTGCTGAGGCTCACCTCACAGTTTCAATCCTCCTGCCTCAGCCTCCCAAGTTACTGGGATTACAGACCTGTGCCACCAAGTCTGCCCTGAACATGAATTAGGACATTTGATGTTGGACTTGATTATCTTGCTGAGATATGTTAGATTTTTCTACTCTTCGGACCCACCACACACACACTAAATACTTATGAAGGAAGCCATTATGTGAAGCTCACATCTGAGTAGCATAACCAACATTCCCTAAGCCTATCTTGTACATTTTTTTGCCCCAAATTTGGAATCAGACCTTGTAACTTTTTCAGTCCAGGTACATTTTAGTGGGAAATGATATTTAGAGATCATAGTCTGCAGAGTAGGGGTATGCATAAGGTTGGTCATTGTGTTAGGCCTTTTCTGTGAGATTTTTAGTTTTCTTTTTCTTCAGGGATAGGGTTTGAAGCCAGGGCTTGGCACGTTAGGCAAGTGTTTCACCACTGAGTTATATACCCAGCCCCAAACTTCTTAATAAAAAAATAAAATGCATTGAGTTCATTCTCATATTTCAAAATATTCAAATATAAGCATAATTTTCTTGTTTCATTTTATTTCGTATTTCTATTTCTTTTATAGTGAAAAACGTGGTTCCCAAAGACACATCATATATGCTTTATACTACTTATAAGTTCAGAAATAAATTTCAGGAATAACAAATGCCAATGTCATTACTGACAATAAGAGTACCGAAACAGCTTAGGTTCTTTGATCCCCACCCCCCAGCACTAAAAGGTTTGCCTGATTTATTATTTTAAATTCAAATAATTTCTTCATCACAAACATGCTATCTGCAAAGTGTGTTTTAATACGATTCCTTTGAGGAGGGAGGTGCCATTTCTTGTTGAAAAGGACAGAAGTTAGGCATCGCGATAATTTTTCAGCTAGTATGAAAAAAAAGTTTAACAGAACGGTAGTAAGTTTGTCTTCACCAAATCCCTGTAGTAAGATTCGTCTGAATTAATTACGTTCACTCATGAGTTGTGCTTAAGAGGTCCTAAACCAAAGAACACAGCTTCACTGGAGAGAGGAGGTTTGCAAACTTCCGCAGACTAAAACCATTCACTTTACTTGTGTGGACCTTGCTTGGCAACAATGTTCCATACCCTTTTTGTGGCCCTGCAGTATGCTGGGACTCCAAGCCTGGAAAAGCTACTTCCAGCCCTAGAGGCGTTTAGTCGTTTTCAGGAGCCGAACGCGCCAACATTTTATCATCAAACAATGGCAGTAGTTGCCACTCTGAAAATCCGAATTCTGGTGTTATGGAAACCTCCCGGAGGTCTCTCCCGGGGTCAAATTGTCAAATGGGCAGGTAGGCTGCTACTGTGGTCTCCGCCTACCCATGTGAGGTGCAAAGTTTGAGCGTCAGAGCCGGGAAACCACTATTTCGAATTCTTTTATTGTTTTATGCCTCTGACTCACACGAGCACAGGCCAAAGGAGGAGACATACTACCCAACTAAGCGCTTCCCACCGAAAGAAGCCACCCCGTTGTGCCGGGGAGGGGTGAGCGGTCGGACAGGTCTAAGGACTGGAGAGCCGGCTCGCGGGGTTGGCTGGGGCGTGGACGCCGAGGGAGGCTCAAAGCCGGGTGTGACCTCCCGGGGTCGCCAGGCAGGAGGCAGCGCGGTGCCGGCCCCGCCCACTGCAGACAGGTTACCTCGCACCTCAAGGTGAGTGGCGTCATGCCGCCTGCGCCGTGCTGATTGGCTCCTTCGGGAAGCCCCGCCCCCTCAGCTGTAGCCGGTCCGGCTTCAGTGTCGCCGCCATCTTTGTTGATGTGTCAGCTCCGCGGGGGTTTGGGGAAGCGGCTGTGGAGAGAGTGAGGGGTGGGCCGCGATCCCCGCCGCTGTCTCCCCCGCCCACTTCTAGTCCGGAGGATCCCGCCATGGAGAGGTTGGACCCTGAGCCGGAGCTCCAGCGGCCTAGTTAGGGTGCGGCCTGAGGCTTGGAGAAGTGGGGTGAGTGCCGAGGGGCGTCCGGGACCTACTGGGGCGGCGCGGCGGGGCTGCCAACCTCCCGGATGGTCCGGCGGCCCCGGGGCGGGGGCAGGCCGGCTGCCCGCCTCCGGATCTGGCTTCTCTCCTGAGGGAGGACAGAGGCGAGCGGTGGGCGCCGGGATTCGGAGCCCTTTCTCCCCGCCGCCTCCCTTGGGGAGCGGGGGCCCGGGGAGCGGGCGGCGGGGACGCGGCGGCGGGGCCTCGGGCTGTGCCTCGAGAGCTGTGCCTCGAGAGCTGCCGAATTTGGGCGGATTGCCTGGGCTGCAAGTGGAAAGAAACTGCGGCCGAACTCCACCTGCTCGGAGATCTTTCACAGTCATTCACCCATCTCGCTGTTGGGCTCCAAGTTTTGCGTTTACTGTTGTGGCGACTTTTCACCCCTCTCCAAACACTTCCATGACTGTGATTTTAAGTTATTTAGAAATGATTCTTTGATATCTTTGAGAGATGCAGTTCTTTGTTTTTATGTTGCCCCCTATGTGGGGACTGAACTCAGGGGCGCGGCACCACTGAGCTACATCCCCGGCTATTTTATTTTATTTTATTTTTTGTTTTCTAATTTTAATTCACGGCTCGCTAAGTTTCCCAGGTTGTCTTCCAATTTGCGATCCTCTTGCCTCACCCTTCCCTGTAGCTGGGATGACAGGCGTCTTACACCGCACCGGGATTATGTTGCTTTTTAAACAAGGACATCAGGCATTTCTTAAACCTTACTTGCTTAGGAAGGAATTCCAAATTTATGTCTCCATCATACATGTAAAGTAGCAAAACAAAACAAAAAATCTCTTGCATATGTCTCCCAAATAGCAATACTGGGTAGCAGTGCCTTGCAGGTGTAGTTATTGCTCAGCCGTTTAACAATTTAGCAACTTCAGCAAATATTTATATTTTGATTTTGTCCAGACTTAAGAGGCCCGGATATATAGTCAGAACATCTGTATTAGAATCCTGCTTCTTTCTCTTAATAGTCTTGCAACCTGTGGGAATCAGAATAGTATAGGAAAAATATGCTGTACTGTGCTTGGTACCTGGCAATTTTCTCTGCATATGTATCATGTTCTTTTGATGCCCAGCTTTTTTATTTATTCCAAAACAATAAATAGGGTATTTTTTCTAAGGAAAATGTGCAGAAAATTAGTGGAACAATGTTTCAAGATGGGTACTAGTAGTCATTAAAAGAAAAATCAATGTTTAGTATGTAGGTTGTGGGTGTGGCCTTCTCAACTATTAACTACACCCTCCTATTTGGCAGAGTGATCTTTCAGAAAAGATTAAGGTTCTAGAGTCATTGAGAATGAAACTGAAGTATCTTTGTGTATAAAGTACACTGTTCTGTGTGCATTACTTTTCAGTTCTTTCTGAAATGAAAAACAGATGATAAATAAGCCTCCTTTTTTTCCTTTTTGGTCTTTTTGTGTTATTTTAAATTAAACATATTCAGATAAGATATTGGGTAGTTCATAAATCTTGCAGGGTAGTAGGGAAAATGATTATTGAGGAGTCCCCCAGAAGATGCATGGATTATGTTTAATTTGGGGGGCTTTATCTAATTCAAAGTAGTTGTGTATAAACTTAATTAAAGTTTCTTTAAATGATAGGGATTCCATAGAAAGTAATTGACATTTTAGAGTCTTATTTTTTGCTGAGAGGAGTGTCTAATGTGCAATACAGTCACCACTCTAACCTTTTAGTTCCCTGATCCATAAACCAAAGAGTTGTCTTTTGATACTATACAGTAACAATATAGCTAATGATAATTGTCTAGTATATTCATTTTAAAAACATGTTTATAGTTACACACTAACATTTCAAAACAGTGCAGTATACTCAACTTTTTAGGGAGGGGATGATAGGTTGTAGCATGAAAGCAGCCTTATTTAGAGATTTAGAAAACCATCTTTTCCTTCAAAGTACTATTAATAAATCTTCCCTAGTTTCCCAAGCCCTCAAACAGTGTCAATTAAAGTAAGAATCCTTAACCTGAAGTTTTTTTTTTCTTTTAGTAAAACTTAGGTTTCTCATTTGTTTCTTATCTCTACTTTTAAATACTAGAACCAGTTCTTGAATTTCTTATAAACATGTTACTGGGTTTACAATGTTGTGAATGTTACACTTACTAATCATTTTAGAGGCAGCAGTGGGATCATAAACAATTGATCCTTTAATCTTAAATTGTTTCAAATAATCCTTTGAATTTTATTAGCTACTGAGGTTTAAAATTTTTATTTTGGTTAGTAAATAAAGAGAAACATTGGGGGTAATTAGGTCCAGCACAGTATTGAATGGATCTATTTATTAACATTTTTCTGTTATTAAAACACACATGAGCTCATCGTCTACTGTGGGATTATGTACTAAGCGCAAATGAATAATTAGTTTTATAAACTATACCATACCAAATTAACCAAATCTAGACCAAAGGTGGATTCAAAATTTAAATATTAGCCCAAACTCTTTAACATAAAGCAGACTTACAACTTGCAGTTATTATTTTTTTAACTATTAGCTTTCCCTTTTGTCCTTTTAGTTTTTGGATTTGGAAGAGAAATTAATTGAAAAAACTTTTCATATTTTCTTAAACTAATTAAAGTGCAAGTAGTGATGTCAATACAAATAGCTGCAAATTAAGATTTCTGTATTAATAAACTTTCTGTTTTAATATTAAAAAAAATTATTAGAGGTATCTAAAATTGCATGACTCTAATATATCAAACTGATAATTTAACATATAACTTCTGTGATATATGATGTGGTCACTGACCCTTTTTTTCTGGAATCATGATGGGTCATAATTTTTCTTTTTCTTGTTATCTTGTCATAGGATTTGGTACTATTTGGGGTGTCTTATATTAATCCCTTTTAAAAACATCTTTGTGTGTGTGTTTGTACATGAACATGCAGGTGATAATAACTCATATAGCATAAAAATTCACCCTGCCCCAAGTCTTGGGTACAAAGCTGAAAGACCTCCATGGCAATAAATGACTTTGGCTTCATAATACAAATTTTTAAACTGGTGAGCTAAAAGAAACTTTTAAATTTTACAACTGTGTTTATTTTTAAGAAAACCCAATGTATTCAATTTTACCCAAAAGCTTAATTAAGATCTTAATTATTCCACTTTAAAAACTGTATCTTTCTGGTTGTGTGTGGTAGTGCATACCTGTAATCCCTATGACTTGGGAGGCTGAGGTAAGAGGATTGCGAGTTCAAGACTAGCCTGGGCAACTTAGTGAGACTCTGTCTCAAAATAAAAAATAAAAGGGCTGGGGGCATAGCTCAGTGGTAGAGTGCATACCTAGCATGTACTATGAGGCAGAGGACTCAATGCCCAGTACAGAAAAAAAATTTTTTTCTTCCTTTTTGCATAACGCATCTAGAGTTCTTTGAAACAGCAACTCAGTTTTTTATGTTTTAAGAGCAGAATTGGATCTGTGTAAATTCATCTTAAATAAAACGTAAGCATTAGACAGTTTAATTCTGGAAAACAAGGTATTCATGTTTCTTATGTTCACTTTTTTACTGTTATTTTTAAAAACTTTATCCAGGAAAGTATGCCTTTTCAAGTTAATATATGTGAAAATCAATTGTTTGATGGTGTGAGCAGATGATATTGAACTATGTGAATGCTTTTTTCATTGATTTTTGCTTCTGAATTTAATTGCCATTTCAGAATCTTGCTAAAACTGATAGAAAGGTAAGTTTTGTTTATACTTCTTTCAAATGTATTTGGGGGGAATATGTTAAAAGAAAGAAAGAAAGAAACCAAAACCCTCTTGCTATACTTAAACTTTTACTATAAAGAACAGTAAAGCTTATGTTGAAAGGAGTTATCTCAAGGCTCAGTTTGCTTATCTTAATGTATATTATTTAATGATATTATTTGGGGCTTGAATGGTACAATTTATACTTTCAAAGTTTGTAGTTTGTTATAAAGTATTTAGGTTGAACCAAGGTTCTTCTGGATTTAAAATAGCTATGAATTTATATATATGTGTATATTCTGATGGAACACTGGCAGACATTAAAATGTTGTAATGTTAAAAGCTGTATGGTCTGTAATGCTTTTGTGTTTTTTAGCAACAAAACAGAAGAATAAAAGACAGCATAGTCTTTATGTATTGGTCCACTACATCTCACCTCAGGCATGCACCTTGAGGGATGAGGAATGTCTGTTTTATTCCCTATAGTGTTTCCAACACCTAGAACATGTAGATTCTCAATATGTTTTTAACAAATGGATTAAATATCTACTCTGGAAATTATTTTCAACTTGGTACCTTTGTATGAGGCACATTTATTTGATAACCTGTTAACCAAACATCTATAGATTGGATGAATTTGTATTTGCAGTTTCCTGAGTAAGCTTAAGTTTTTATTGTTTGTAATGCTAATTAGTGGAAAAAACAGGAAAGAGAACCCAAAACTGTTAAAAGTGTTTTTATTTATATAACTTTGTAAATAATTTTTAAACACTCATTCCTTCATAAAGAAATAAAATTCAAGGTAGATCATGCTTTGCTTTAAGGCACGTAAAAACTGCTTCTTGACCAGTTGCCTACAGCTGATGAGCTCCAGCAAGAGCGAAACCAGTTCTCACCTACTGAAACAGTTTTGAAGTGTGAATTGGTCCTGTAGTACTGTGTCAGAAACACAAACAACTCTGGGAAAAATAAATGTTTGAATTAAGAGGAGTTTTGTTACTATAATGTTTTAAATATGGTATTTCCCCTAATAAGTGAAAGTTAATAAAGAGTTGAAATATCTTGTATTACTTTTAACATTGAAAAAGCAACCTATATTGTAATCTATAATTGTAATTACTGCATTTATTTAAGAATGTGAATTTGATTTGTACAGATTCTTCTTAAATTAAAATAATCTTGTCAATATCTAGTTTTGTATCCTCCCCATTTAATCTAGTACTAGGCTATTCTATCCTTAGTAGCTTTGGTGATAACTCCCCTCCCAAAACAAAAACTTGAAGAGCATCCAAATTGGTCTGCATCAGTATTGCCAACTGGAAAAGCCTGTGGGAGGACTCAGCTGACTAGTTTTTTCCCATAGTTGATTGTGGAGAAAATCAAAGGTTATTACATTTTTTGTTTGTTTTTGTCTATTACCATTCTTGTGCAGTTATTTAATCTTTGGTAATGGCTTTGGTAGTAGATCACATAGATCTTGATTAACCCTCTCCTTTCCTTTAATCCTCTCTTTTTTCTTTGTTATTCAGTCAATAATTATTTGATCATTAGAACACTAAGTTTGCAAGTTCTAAGTGATTACCAGATGTCGGCTTACATGATGACTTTTTCAGAGGCTATAGGCATATTACTGGGAGAATGTATAGAAAATATTGTTTTTTGAGATTAAATTTAGTCTTCCTTAATTTATACAATATGTAAAACTGATCCTAAGCTTAGGAAATTATAAAAACCGTTGATTATTTTGCCTCCTAGATGAATATGCAGCAGGATGTAAGGAAAATTTTTGTTGTTCTGCGCTGTCTTACAGCTTGTTACCCACCCACTAAATGATGTGTGGATGCCAGATCATTGTGTAAACCCAGTGGGTTCCACCATTGTTGAGAACTTGCTACACAGCATTTGCAAAAATGAGCAATTAACGTAGAAAATAGATTTACCTATTTATTATTATACTGCTTGAGACTTAAGAACTTTGACTTGAGTTCAGAATGAGGTTCCTTCTTGCAGAAACAAAGCTCATTTAAAAGGTGGAAGGATGCCCGCTCAAAAATGTCATAAGAAAGAAAGGCTTGAACTGCTTAATGAGCATAAATGCAGTGTGTTTTACTTTACATAGAAATTATTTTGTACTTGTGATGAGGGAAAATTTGGAGGAAGATTTAATATTAGAATCAGTCCTTTAAACATATTTTTAGTCTCTAGATAGACTGAAGGAAAGAACAATATGGATGAGAACAAAACCATGGAAATGTTAATGTGTGTGTTGTGGGAATCCTAGTAGACTGGTGAGACTTAGTATAGTGAAGCATTTATTTTAGGAATATGTTGAGAGAGAAGATTGGAAAAGTAATGTTACTGGTTTAGTGTGGAATCTCAACTATGGGAATAAATATTAAAAAGTTCGTTTATTTTACAGTGTTGGGACTCGGATTCAAGGCCATGATCACACATACTAGCAAACACCCTATCACTGAGCTGTCTCCTCAGCTCTTTTTTTTTTTTTTTTAAACGGGTCCCTATTTATACTGTGTAAAACACTCAGCCCTGCAACTTTCCTCTGAAGGGCAGTCCTTTAGTAAGGTCCTGGTCTGACATTATTGTCAATTTTGGTTATTCCAAAAATTAAGACAGACCCCAGTCATTTAAAAAACAACTACAACATTAAAATGAAATCACAAACTTATTCTCCCTGAAGAAAAGTTGAAGCTGTTTAGTTCCCAGGTGCTGTGATTGAAGAAGAAGAAGAGGTATAATCTGACTCCAAGACAGACTTCCTCATCTTTCTTTACCTTAGCACCTTTGGAGTTGGGTGAAGAAACCAGCCAGTAGAGGCAGTTTTCATTACCTGAACCTCCGAAGAGAGAAGAGGTAGCCCTGGATGCACTCTGGTCCATCTGGCTGCATTGGACCGAGGTATCTGAGGAGGTGATGCATGTGGATGTTGTAGGGACAGTGTTGTAGATATCCCTGGCCCCTTTTGCCACTAAGACCCACTTCAGAGAGTGGCTCCTATTCCTGTTTTCCAAGCCAGTGTACTACACTTCAGCCCTTTCTCTGGGATTGGATGACCTGTCTCTTGCCTTGATCCTGTGCCATCCCCGGGTTGTCCCAAGCACCTTGCCCTTCTGTTAACCTTGCTCCTTCATTTGGGAGTTTTAGGAAGAGGAGCTGGAAGGGAGAATGGCGTAAGTTTGAGAAACCAACAGTTAAGTGTTCCAGAGTAATCAGAGGCCTAGCTGGGTTGCAGGTAGGGGACAATGACAATCGAAATATAGGAGACCTAAAATTGTCAAAAAGAATATGAGGGCAAAGGAGAGGAAGAAGTCAGATGACTAGTAAAAATAATATCATTGACAGAAAAGATTAGCAGAGGGTACTCAATTATAGAAACTATAATTATGATTTTGAATTTGGTCATTTTGAGTTTGAGGTGGTAGAGAAACTTCCAGTGGAAATGCCTATATTCAGGTAGAGTATTAAATAAAGAGACAGAGGCAGTGAGGAAGAGTTGATAGATAATATGATATCTGTAACTCAAGTACAGGATTGAAAAATTATGTAGGCATCAGCTATGAGTTGTGGCTTCAAGTTATCTAAGTAAATGAATTCTAGCAGAGGAGAAGACTTGGAGACTAAATTCTTGAAAACTACAAAAGCTGGTAAAAGGATAATAAACCAATTTTTGTTTAGTGTTTTTCTGTTGACAAATCAGGGCACATGGAGGAGAGCCATAAAGTTGTTGATAAATTGCTTCTCACTTGCTGAATGCTGAGGAGCATAGCATTTTTTATCTGCTACTTATATTATGTCTTAGTCGGCTTTGGGTTCAATTTCTGTTAGATTCATGATACTTTAAAAAGTTCACTTTTAGATTGACTTCTAAATTGTTAAGATTTTAAATTAAACAGTAACACATTCATAAGTTATTCTTAAAGTGAGTTACCTTGAGTGAGGTAATATAAGTGGCCAGTGCCCCTGTTGGAAAATAATTTCACTTTGTTCTAGATTTTGGAATATAAAATACTTAATGAGGCTTTTCATTTACTTACTACACTATTTGCATTTTCTAAACCAAGTGTTTGACATCAGTGTGGGCTTTGGCTTGTTATCTAATATATACAGCAAGATAATGATGATTTCTGTTTGGTTGTTTGAAAGTAAATATTATACAGATAGATAGCTTAGAGTGCCAAAGTCAATGGCTATATTAGTTGCTAAAGTGTAAACAAAAAGGCAACATTTATTTAACAAAAGAAGCTGATGATCTTCTCTTTCCTTTTAATTGTTCCTCCAATTTTATGTATTCCTAAAATGAGGTTCACCAAATACTAGTCTTACTAGTTTTAGAATATCATTTTTGTACTTATAGACTTTAATTCAACAAATACTTGAACCTATAGGAGTCTTGTAAATAAGTCTTGTGATTTATTACAATTTCTCCTTTTCCCCCTCCCCTCTCTACTAGGGATTGACCTAGGGGTGCTATGCTATATCCCCAGTTCTTTCTTATTTTATTTTATTTTTAATTTTGAGACAGAGTCTTGCTGAGTTGCTGAGCCTGGCCTTGAATTGCTATCCTTCTGCCTCAGCCTCCCGATGGGCCAGGATTATAGGTGTGTGCCACCATACCTGGCTCCAGATTTGTCTTTATTAACAAAATTCACTCCTGCTTAGTTTTCTGAGGATTCTATCTTACTAGTCTTCTCTTATCCTATTTAGTCATCCTCTGTGCACCCCCTCCATTATACCTCATTTTGTTATTTAAAAAATTGACCTTTATTTTGTTTTCATCTGTTTTCAGATGAGTATAGCACTCATCTCTGTGAGAACATCACCTGCCTACTTTTTAATCTAACGATTTGGTAGCTCATCTGCTCTATATATGCTTTCTTGATACCTGACAAAAGAAGTTGACAATTCTTTTTCAATAAGATCACTGAGAGATTTTATATTTATCCATCTAAGGCAATCTTTGAAGCTGAGGGATTTTTATAAAGTAGCCAGGATAGTAATCTTTTTAAATAATAGCAAAACGTATTCCAACCATGTCAAATTAATTTTTAAATATTGCTTCTATTCACCTAGGTAGTGCATGTGGGCTCCACTTGGTTTGTTTGAAAATTGTTTTATTTTTGATGAAAATGTTTAAAAATCATCATGGTACTTCATGGATCACTGCCTCAGTAAAAAGTTAATTTCTATCAGGGAATCCTTTATTTTCAGAGCTAGGTCTATAGGCTATAGGTCACCGTGACTTGTTATTATTTGGTTTCCTTCTAGGTAAATTTTTGGAGGGGGAGCGGGAGTAACCGGGATTGAACTCAGGGGCACTGGACACAGAGCCACATATCCAGCCCTGTTTTGTACTTTATTTAGAGACAGGATCTCACTGAGATGCTTAGTGCCTCGCTTTTGCTGAGGCTGGCTTTGAACTCGTGATCCTCCTGCCTCAGCCTCCTGAGCCACTCTCAGTAAATTTTTTTAACATTATTAATATGCATTATATTATTATCTTGGTTTGTGATTTCTAGTGTTTTCATTGTTGTCTTCCCTCTCCAGTATTTTCTTATAGATCTTGTAGTCTCTTCCCCTCAGAGCTGAAAGAAGTGTAAACATCTTTGGCACTAATTCTCCATTTATAAGTATTATTCCCTACCTAACATCTTCCGGGAATGATTGGAAAATGCTAAACAGCAACAAAGTAATTAGGGATGTTAGGTGACTAAATGGAAGGAGGAAAGACAATGAGACTTTGCAGTAGCTCTGCTGATTGTAGATAATTTGGATTGGCTATACTATTCTTTTTTCTCCAAGAGAGATTTTTATTAAAGAAATTATTTTTGGGAAAAATCTATGGTCTTTGGTTATTGCATATCATGGAGTGTGAGCAAAGAGATATGAGGTCTTGGTTTAAATTCTTTTTTTTTAAAAATTTTGATGTTTTAATTTCTTAGATGTAAAACAAAGATCAGAAGCAAATTTGAAGAAATGCAAAGTGAATTGGTGCTTGTCAACATGTCAGAGACGGAGAATGAAGCCTTCATTTCCTCTGATAAAAATATTGGGAAAATATCTGAATTAAAGGAAGATTCATGCAGCTCATTTTCTGGTGATGAAAGCAGCAGATTAGAAAATGAATCCAAACTATTGTCATTAAATTGTGACAAAATTTTATGTCTGCCTAATGAACACAATAGTCATGTTGAAGCACACAAAAATTATGTCCCAAATAATGATGGATGTAAGGATTCTTCTGCCAAAAAAGACATATGCCCAGAAGATTCCGAACAAATAACTAACTTACCTAGTGGAGATTTTGCAAAGCAAGTGTCTAAAACAAGTGAAACAGAACAGACAGTAACACAAATACTGGCAGAATTAAGGTCACCTACATTTACAGAAGCAGCTCATCAAAAGACTTACTCAGAAAGTCTCTATGATACAGACTGCACCAAGAAACTTATTTCAAAAATAAAAAATGTTTCAGCATCAGAGGATTTGTTGGAAGAAATAGAATCTGAGCTGTTGTCTACAGAGTTTGCAGAAGAACACCAAGTACCAAATGGCATGAATAAAGGAGAACATGCATTAGTTCTGTTTGAAAAGTGTGTGCAAGATAAATATTTGCAGCAGGAACATACTATAAAAAAGTAAGTTTTAAAATTCCTTTAAGTAATTTTTTTCTCTAGGACTACAGATATAATTCCTTTAAGTTATCATCTTGTTTACTAATAATTTCATAGTACAGCCATGATAAATAAAGGTGTATTTACTGAGTGCCAAGTTTTTCTAATTATTTAATACTCTAAAGTACTAAATATTATAGTGTAAGTTCATTGAAAAACTGAATTTTTTATAAAGACAAAACTTTAAAAAAAATTTTTTTGCTGGGTTAGGTATTGAACTTGGGGCCTTCAGTAGGGTGCTAATACTTGCAAGCACTCTACAACTCAGCTATATTTCCCCACCTAAGTTTTTCATTGTTGAAAGAATGTAGAAATATGTTAAAAATAAGAAAAATTTAAAAGGAAATTAAAAGTCATAAAATTCAACATTTTTTTAAAAATCTCCAATGTAAATACATTAGTTTGAAAATTAAAATCTAAAGGACATAGAATTAGTTGATTTTCCTTCAATAAATAAGAACATAAACTTTTTTCGTGGGAGTGGGTACCAGGTATTAAACTCTGGGGCACTCAACCACTAAGTGACATCCCCAGCCCTATTTTGTAATTTATTTAGAGACAGGGTCTCACTGAGTTGTTTAGTGCCTTGCTTTTGTTGAGGCTGGCTTTGAACTCATGATACTCCTTCCTCCACCTCCCCAGCCACTGGGATTATAGGCATGCCCCACCGTGCCCATCCAAGAACATAAAATTTTAATAATGATTTCATTTAGTTTTCCTAATATATTGTAGTACCTTATATTTTTATTCTTGATTTATATAGCTAAGTGATGCATTATTTTAGGTACTCTTTTGTAACATATAAGAAAGTTAAATAAAGTATATTAGCCTTCACTAAAATATATAGTGATTTCTTTTAAATAGGATACTCAAAGTTTTTTTGTTTGTTTTTTTTAATCAAGAGAATGTGTGTATAGAGAAAGAGAAGTAATCTACTTGACAGAGGAGGATAACAGAAGAAAATATACTATAATTCAAATGTTATTTGATATCAGTTTGCCTTTTCATGATCTCCTCCTTCTGGTTTTCAGTCTTTCAGAATATCCTATTCAGTGGATCAGTCTTGCCCAAATCACTAATCCTTCATTGGTTTACCCAATGAGCTTTAGTCTCTTATTATCTAGGCTTGTCCCTTTTGTATTTTTCTATTTTTGAGTTCATTTGTGATAAAATGCACAAAACATAAAACTTACCATCTTTGTACAACCAACCTGTAGAATTTTTTATCTTGCAAATCTGAAACTCTATATTCATAAATAGCAAATCCCTCTTGCCACCTCTCCCCAGTCCCTGTTGGAAGCCACCATTCTACTTTCTCTTTTTATGAGTATGATTACTCTTAATACTTCATGTAAGTAAAATCATTCAGTATTCTCTCTTTGTGATTAGCTTATTTCACTTCATATAAGGTCCTCAAGGTTTATCCATATTATAGAGTGTGTCAGAATTTCCATACTTTTTAAGGCTGAATATTTTCCATTCTATGTGTATATCATATTTTGTTTATTCTTTCATGGACATTTGAGTTCCTTCTCCATTTTGACTTTTGTGAATAGTTTCTTTGAGCTTACAAATATCTTCAAGATTCTAACACTGTTCTTAGTGCTACCTTACAACTATTGCATTACTCCTATTTATATCCTTAATAGTGCTATTTTGTGAATAAACTGTATTCTCTATGTATTTGAATCATTGGAGCTTCTGCCACTTTTAATTTTTTTCAGGGTAACTTCCTCATTACTTTGCTCTCTGCACCTATCTTTTAGACCTTTCCATTTTTGCTTCTTTTCACTTTTCTTAGATGTGGACTCATTACTTTTGTACATCTCTTATAAATTATAAGACATGTGCATTTAATGATAATTACAAAAAAAATGCTCTTAATAATGTGCACTATATATGTGTGTATACACACACACACACACACACATAAACTCATGGGATCTTCCTAACAACTCTAGTATATACTGTTATTATCCCAATTTTACAGATGAGGTACCTGAAACAGTAAGTAACTTGTTCAGGGTCACATGCAATCAACGTAAGATTATAATCTAAGCCTTGTTAGTTTGGCTACAGAGGTTTTATAAATGTGGTTATAGAAATTAACTAATTACAAATTGCTGAACTTATCTAAAAATAAAAAGTAAAAAGTCGAGTCTTCTTTTTTGCTTCATCCTGTCAGAGCAGTGGGGTAAGCACAATTCTGATCAGAAACCTGGAGTTGGAAGATTCCCATTGCTGTTTGCAAGTGTTACCTTAACTATATAAACCTCTTTTGAGTCAAATATTTTTCATCTCTATGAGGGGTACTTACCAGATGGGACTTTTGTGGGCATTAGGCATTGTACAAATGTCATATGTTACTTTAAAGTGAGGTTGATCATAAACATAATATTTTCAATTCCAAGTAAAAGCTTTGTTCATTCAGGTCAGCTCTTAAACAACTAAAATTTCTTTTCTTTTGCCTTCATTTTAATTTTTCATGAAGAAAACTACTTTTCATTTCCTTTGATTGAAACGTTCATAAATGCATTTGTTTTCAGATGTCTTTGTTTATATATCCATTCCTGTTTTCCTTTTCTCCCTAGCTTTATTGAAGTGTAATTGACAAAATTGTATATATTTAAGGTGTACCACATGATGATTTGATATGCATTGTTAACTGATTTCTATAATGAAGTTAGATAACATATCCATCACCTTACAAATATACTTTTGGGGGTATGTGTATGTGGTGTGGACCCTTAAGATCTATTCTTAGCAAATTTCAAGTATATTATATGGTATTGTTAATTATTGTTCCTCTGGTGTACATTAGATCCCCAGAACTTATTCATCTTATATCCCCAGCCCTTTTTATTTTTATTTTGAAACAGGGACTCATTAAGTTGCCCATGCTGGCCTCAAACTTGAGAGCCTTCTGCCTCAGCCTCCTAAATAGCTGGGATTACAAGAGTATGCCACCATCCCTCAGAAAATAATATATTTTTTCTTTTTTTTAAATTTTAACTTAGCAAATAGTGTGCAGTAAACTTATAGTTAGTAGCATTAACAATCCTATAATAATAGTTGTTTACTTTCTTAGGTATCCTATAGTTCAGATTCCTTTGTGGGCAATTTTTAAGATTTTATTTCTGTCTTTGTAGGGGGACTTAAGATGAAATTTCTGCTTAAACTTTGTTTTACATTGACTACACTTATATAACTATTAGTATATCATTAAAATATTTCTAAAATGTAAAGCAAGGTACCTCAATCTCAGCCCTATTGCCATTTTGGCCCAGATAATTCTTTGTTAAAGGTACAGGTGTCTTTTGAATTTTGGAGTGCTTAGCAGCCTTTCTGACTTCCACCCATTCAACCACCAGTAGCAACCCCTGCCCTTATTGTGACAATCCAGAATGTCTCCAGATGCTTGAAGGGATAAAATTGCTCTTGATTACAAACCACTTATCCCAGGGGTTCCTAGGCTGAAAGAAAGTTGTTCATAGTTGAGATGGCCAAAGGCCTGTTTATAATAGGACATGATCTTCTTTTTTTGATTATATGTCACTTGATTTGAAATATCTAGGAAAAAATTAACCACCTGATTGGCTAAAAGAATGTTTTGCAGACTATCTGATGCATAGATCAACAGTGTGAATATTTGATAACAAAGCTGAGTTGATCTTTATTTTTCTGAGCTGCTTTTTCTTATGTGGACAGGATTAGAAGCATTTGAGCCTTAAAAGGGCTGGGGATGTGGCTCAATGGTAGAGTGCTTGCTTGGCAGGCATGATGCCCTGGGTTCAATCCCCAGCATTGAAAAAAAAAAAAAAAAAAGACAGTTCTGAGAAATGTATCATTAAGGAATTTTATCCTTGTGTAAACATGATACTTTATGATAAAAGATTACTTTGGAATGTTAACCCAATATAATCATAGATATCTACACCCTAATCTACAAACACCCCACATTTCATTGTGTATCCATTTTTAATTATGTTTTATCTATACTACCCTTTTATATTTAGGTTAATTAAAGAAAATAAGAAGCATCAGGAGCTCATCTTAGACATTTGTTCAGAAAAAGACAATTTAAGAGAAGAGTTAAAAAAAAGAACAGAAACAGAGAAGCAGCATGTGAACACAATTAAACAGGTAAAAAAGATAAAAAATTTTGAATACCATATTTATAAAATTTTAATTGATAATTTATAAAATAAACACATTCCTGAAAATTTATATATAAATTGAAATTCTGTAAATTAAATCATGTTTTAAATGCATAATTACTCATATTTAAAGCATTCTCTTATGAAGTGTAGGAATCATAGCTTGAATTATTTTATTTTATGTAAATATTTTATATGTGTGATTATTCTGCTAAATAGAATATATTACATTATGTTCAAAATAATAAAGACAATATGATTTGACAGTCACTAGACCATTTTTATCAATCAAGGTAAGAAGCTATACTATACATACTTAAAAGTTTATATCTGGCATTAGGATATTTTTATACTTAAAATCTAGTATGGTTCTATTTTCAGTATTTTTGTAAACTATGCTGTGAAGATTTGTTCTAATGTGATTGTGTATAATCACAGAGCTAACTGGCTCTCTTAGCCTGTTCTTTCCTTTCTTCTTTTTTAATGAACTCTCTAATCAACAAAGTAACCACTTAGACTTGATAACAAAACTGAGCTGCTCTTTATCTTTCTGAGCTGCATTTTCTTCTGTGGGCAGGATGAGAAGCATTCTAGTCATTAAAGTATAATAACTTAGCAATGAGGACGGTTCTGAGAAAATACATAATTAGGCAATTTTGTCACTGTGTGACCATCCTTAGGGTCTACTTAAACTAAGATGGTTACAACATCACTAGGTGATATAACCATGTTGAATCATTTGTTATTCATCATTGACAGAAACATTATGTAGCACATGACTGTTATTTCCTTTCATTTCATCTTTTACAGAAAGCTGTATAATGAAAATAGCAGAAAATACTTGGTGACAATATAATGAAAAATTATACAGGTTTCACTTGTTTATGCTTTGGTATTCAATTAATGCATCTTTTCACAGTTGAAGGTGAATACATTTGTAAGATTTTATGTATGATATTTAATACTGATTTTTATGTGCTGTAGGACTACCATATGTAAACCAAACTTAAGAAGGTTAAAGTATAAAGGAGATTTAATAATAATAGTCTGGGTCCAATAGTCAGGTAACTGCTGATGACCAGAATCTTCAGACTGAACAGATGGGACAAAACCAGAGCTTCCTTTCCCAAGTATATTAAAGGTTGTACCTTTAAAAGAAAAAAAAGAATGTTGGATTCATCTTTCTTTTGCTAGCATTTAAAGAACTTTATACTTTTTAAATAGAAAACAAGTCTAGTACAATATTCTTTCTTAATTTTATCTCTAGATCTGCACTGTCCAGTATGGTAGCCACATTTGGCTTTTGAACACATGAAAGGTGATTAGTCCAAATTGAGAGGTGCTATAAGCATAATATACACAGCTAATTTAAAAGACTTAGTACAAAAAATTATAAAATAGCTCATTTTTTCATGTTTCTGTACATTGAAAAGGTATATTGAGTTTAAACTATTACACCTGTTTCATTTTGCTCTTTAAAGTGTAACTACTAGAAAATTTAAGTTATAGCCAAGTATGGTGGCACACACCTGTAATTCTAGTGACTTGGGAGGCTGAGGCAAGAGAGTACAAGTTCAAGGTCATCCTCACAACTTAGCAAGACCCTGTCTAAAAAAAATAAAAATGAGGTAGGGATGTAGTTCAGTGGAAAAGCATCTCTGGATTCAATTCCCCATACCAAAAAAATAAGTTAAAAAATTTAAGTTGCCCATATTGTTTTGACAATCAGCTTCTGTCTCTGTACCAAAATACCTGACATAAACTACTTAAATGAGAAAGAGTCTATTTTGACTCAGAGTTTCAGAGGTTTCAGTTCATGGTCAGTTGTCTCTATTGCTTTGTGCCTAAGATGAGGCAGAACATCATAGTGGAAGAGCAAGATGGAGGAAAGCTTCTCATCTCATGGCAGCCAGGAAGCAAAGAAAGAGGAAGGAACTTGGGACAAGAAACACACCTCCAGTGACCTACTTCCTCCAACCTTGCCTCACCACCTGCAGTTTCCACCACTTGCATTTGTCCATTCAACTATCAGTAGATTAATCCACTAATGAAATCAAAGTCCTCTTTATCATTTATCTTCCCCTGAGCATTGCTGCATGGAGGATTGAGCCCAGGGCCTTGAGCATGTTGGACAAGCACTCTACCACTGAGCTATATCCTCAGCCCTTTTATTTTATTTTGAAACAGAGTCTTGTTAAGTTGCGTGTTCTGACCTTGAACTTGTGATTCTCCTGCCTCGCCCTCCTAAGTAGCTGAGATTATTGGCATGTGCCATTACATCCATCTGTGGTTTGTATTTCTGTTGGTAGTGTCTCTAGATAGTTTTTTATAAGAAAAATCAGCACACATGTAATGTTTAGGTCTTTTAAAATAGTTTTTTGGGATAAAATTCATATACCTCACAATCCACTCATTTCAAGTGTATAATTCAATGGTTATTAATTTGTGTGACCTTCACCATGGGTTTAGAAACCCCACCACTATTAGTTGTCACTCATTTGCCTCCAATACCACCCTCATCCCTAGACTTAGAGAACAACATATCTTGTCTTTATATATTGGCCTTTTCTGGAAACTTAATATAAATGGAATCATATATTAAGTAACAGTGTTTTCAGAGTTTCTTTCAAATTGAGGTATGCATCAGTACTTTGTTGTTTTAAATGATTGAATAATATTCCATTGTATGAATAAATATTTTATTCATCCTTTCATCAATTGATGCTCTGTGAGCATTCATACACAAGTTTTTATGTGGACATATTTTCATTTCTCTTGGGTATATACCTAGGAGTAAATAGAATGAGTTGAAAGGAGTTTCTTTCTTTTCTTTTCTTTTTTTTTTTAAAGACAAGAATTTTAGAAGAATTGGTATTCTTTAAATGTTTGGTAGAATTTACCTGTTAGCCATCTGTACCTGAATTTTTCTTGGTGTGGATAGTTTTTTTTTTTGGTTGCTGTTCTGGTTAAGAAATCACTTGTACAGGTCTATTGAAACTTTATGTTTCTTCTTGAGCTAGTTAGATAGTTGATTTTTTTTTCTGGGAATTTTCCATTTTTTCTAAGTTAAATATTTGTAATATTCATTCACAATTTTTTTTATTTCTCTAAGGTCAGTAGTAATGTCCATCTTTAAATTCTAGTAATTTGAGTCTTCTCTCAATTTAGCTAAAAGTTTGTCAATTTTGTCAACCTTTTCAAAGAATCAACTTCTAGTTTTGTTGTTTCTGTTTTTTAATTCTTTGTTTTATTAAGTTCCACTCTATATTATTTCTTCTTCCGTTTTTGGTTTAATTAGTTCTTCCATTGCCTTATACTAGAAATTTAGGTTATTAAATTGGAATCTTTTTTATTTTTTAATAAAGGTCACTATAGTTACAAATTTTCTTCTAAACATTGCTTTAAATGCACCAAATAAGTTTTGGTATGTTATGTGTTCATTTTTATTCACTAACTAGTTTCAGTTTCCTTTGTGATTTTTTCCCATTGGTTATTTATGATTATGTTGTTTAATTTTCACAAACTTGTGAATTTCCCAAATTTCTTTGTTCTGAGTTCTAATTTTAATTCGTTAGGGTTAGAGAACATATTTTGTATGATTTCCATCTTTTAAATTTACTGAGGTTTATTTGTAAAGCCAGCACACATTCTATCTTGGGGAACATTCCATGTGTACTTGAGTAGATGTATATTCTGCTGTTGCTGGGTAGAGTGTTGTATTACATCCAGTTGTTTTTTAGTTAGTTGAACTCTCTTGTTTCCTCAGTAATCTTCTGCCTAGTTGAGTCTATCTTTTGAAGTAGCATATTGAAGTTCTGACTTATTGATTTGTCTGTTTCTCCCTTCATTTCTGTTCAGTTGTTACTTCAAGTTTTTTGGTGCTATGTTATTAGATATGTGTTAGATCTTTTTGATTTTTCTCAATGGATTGATCCTTTTATCATTGTAAAATGTCCTTCTGGATCTCTTGTAACACTTTTTAAATTTTATTCAATTTCGTCTGATATTCATGTAATCGCTCCTACTTATGATTACTGTTTGCATTCTTTTCTTTTCAGTTTATCTTTGGACCTAAATTGTCTCCTGGAGGCAACATATAGTTGAATCCTGTTTTTTTTTTTTTTTATTTCAATCTGTCAGTTTCTACCTTTTGATATGATTATATAATCCATTTTCATTTAATATGATATTTTACATTGATTCACGTCTACCATTTTGCTTTTCATTTTCTGTCTTATTTCTCCCCTCTTCTTCTCCTCTACTTTCTTTTCAACTAATTGAATATTTTCTAATGTAATATTTAAATTTCTTTCATAATATTTAACTATACTTCTTTGAGTTATTCCTGAGTGGATGCTCCAGGGTACCATATGTATACTTTAATGTATTACTCTCTTCAGATTTATGCTAACAATTCCAATGAGATATAGAAATATTGCTATTGATTCCAATGATTAAAATATATTCATTACATTCTTTGTACTATATACATACTATTTATTGAAGTATTAGTGGTCTGTTTGTTATAGCAATGAAAATGATCTGGGAATAATTTTCTTTACAGTTAGAATCAAGAATAGAGGAACTTAATAAAGAAGTTAAAGTTTCCAAAGATAAACTAGTAGCTCAAGACATTGCAGCTAAAAATGCAATTCAGCAATTACACAAAGAGATGGCCCAACGGATGGACCAGGTATTTTTCATGTTCCTAAATTATTAACTTTATAGTCTGGTGACTCCATTATTTACTAAAATAAACTAACTCTTTTAGGCTTTTTGACATCAATGGTGTGTTAAGAATATTAATTTTATTTATATAAAATCAGCCTTTCAAAAATACTAAAGCAGAATTATAAAAAAAAAAAAATACTAAAGCAGAGCCATGCACAATGGCACATGACTATAATCCTAGTGGCTCAGGAGGCTGAGGCAGGAGAATTGTAAATTCAAAGCCAGCCTCAGCAATTTAGCAAGGCCCCTAAGTAATTAAGTGAGACCCTGTCTCTAAATAAAAAATAAAAAGTGCTGGTGACGTGGCTAAGCACCTTGGGGTTCAATCCATGGCACCGAAAAAAAAAAAAAAAAAACAACTAAAGCAGAGCTGGGCTGTAGCTCAGTGGTGGAATGCTTGTCTAGAATGCATAAGGCCCTATGTTCAATCCCTAGCATCTCAAAAAAAATAAATAAATAAACAAAGATACTAAAACAATACATAAATGCCTTCTAATTATTTAAAAATAAGTCAAGGAAGTATACAGAATAAAAAATGAAAGTCCTTCTTTATCTATAATTTTTTCCCCTGCCTTCAATTTGTTTATATCCCATTCGTTGTTCCATAGCTAATTATTGATATTTTGGTTAGTTTTCGTACCTCCTGTGCATGCACAAGTCACACATATTATGTATAGTCTGTTTTGTGTTGCTATTAAAAAAATACCCGAGTCTGGGTACTCCATAAAGAAAAGAAGCTTATTTAACTTACACTTCTGGAGCTCCAAAATCAGGGCAATCCAGAGAGAATAGTTGTATAGAGAGGCCACCTGACAGGAGTTAGTGTCTTCAGGCTACCTCTGGTGATTCTAGAGAAGTCAGACCTCACTCTGCCTTCATTGCTGAATGTTTGTTTAATGTCTCCTGCTGGCAGAACCCAAATGGAAGTTTGAGGGTAAGGGAACTTGTTGATGTGGTCTATGACAGTCATTTTCCTGGGCCACAGGATGGGACAGAAAAGGGTAGGATAGCAGGTCTGGGAGCATACATGGAAAATATCAGCCAAAGTAAAAGGAATTGGAAAGAATAATAGCAAATATTAGTATCGTATTGTTTTCTATAATTTTGAATTTTTCTTTTTATCTCAAAATTTTATGACACAAGAGCTTAGAATGTAATGCACGAATAAAAAATACATTGGTGATATAGGAAAACATTATTTATTTTAATATATTTTTATTTTAAAATCTTTTTATTAATGCTAGATAATATTTTTTTCAAAGGCCAACAAGAAATGTGAAGAGGCACGCCAAGAGAAAGAAGCAATGGTAATGAAGTATGTAAGAGGTGAGAAGGAATCTTTAGACCTTCGAAAGGAAAAAGAGATCCTTGAGAGGAAACTTAGAGACGCAAATAAGGAGTTTGAGAAAAACACTAACAAAATTAAGCAGCTTTCTCAGGAGAAAGGCCGGTTGCAGCAGCTATATGAAGCAAAGGTATGATTGTACCATTGTATCTTACTTGAAATTTATTCTTTGCTTTTCCAGTCAAATGATGATAGCATGGTTTAAACACTCAAAGTTATTGTTATTAACCTTCTAAGAACATGAGTGTTTAGAAATTATAATATCTCATTACTTGCCTGCAAAAAGGTTTTCTGGGAAAAGATGAGGTAATGATTGGCACATGTTTATTGGATATTTTTTTTGATCTTTTTAGATAAATTTTAGATAACTTTTTTTAATAGATCTTCTTTTTAAAATCCATATATTGGGTTAACTTGTGCCTCAAAGAAAACTGTTTTGGTAAAATATGTACATAGTTGTGTTACATGTGAATAGTTTTAGACAGAAACATATCTATTCAGACAGACTCTTAATGTAGCACTTATTCACTATAGAGTAGAACTTATGCTTTTCTTATAGAAAAACATATCCTTCCTAGATGCTATCCTAGGTTATTTACTTACTGAGTTAACTAAGTAATTAAATTAATGTCTTTTAATTCAGAAATATTGTTATCAATTCTCAGAAATTCTTGCAAAACCAATTTAATATTTAATGTCAACCAGTTAAGAAGAATCATATACATGTGCTTGTGCTCACAACACATCCAATTAGTTAAAATATAGGTATTAATCATCTTCATGTCTATTAATTAAATTTAGAATTTTACTGCCTTCTAATCAGTTTTGTGGCCTAAGGGCCATAGTGTATTAGCCCTTAAATTATAGTGATGTTGAACGGATTACTTTGAAGGGATATAAATGATAAACAAATGATTGATTGTTTAAGTGAAAAATATGACCTAGTGATATTATTTTAGGAAGGTGAAACAACTAGACTCATCAGAGAAATAGAAAAATTAAAGGAAGATATCAGCTCTCAAATCATTAAAGTAAAGTGGGCCCAAAATAAATTGAAAGCTGAAATGGATTCACACAAGGTGAGTACTGTAACACCATGAAATAGAAATTAGAATTAGGAGTGAATGCAATAGCAGTTAAGGAGACATGGAACTTGCTTTAGTGACTCCTACAGGATAGTTTGGACCTGAATATTTGGTGATTATGAAAAAGAGGTTTTCTTGCATGATTTACTTATGGGTTGAAATGTTAAATTTTATTATTTGTAGTTTACAACACCAAAATTTGCCTTATTGCATTTTTATTTTGTATGCAAAGTTGGGGGCCAGGTACGAGTATGTGTAAGTTATCAAAATCAAAAATAAACTCTGGAAATTTTTAGAAATATCAGTGATGCTATTTAAATAAAATAATAAACATAAGTTCTCTTAACTTTTTTGTTTTTATTTTTGTTTTCTTTTTTGGTGTTACTGGGGATTAAACCTAGGGCTTTATGCATGCTAGTCAAGTGCTCTTCCACTGAGCTACGTACCCCATCCTTTTTAAATTTTATTTTGAGACAGGGTCTTGCTAAATTATTCAGACTGCCCTTGAACTTGTGATCCTCCTGCCTCTGCATCCCGATTTCTCTAGGATTACAGGCATATGCCACAATACCAAGCTGCAAATATCACTTTAATAAAAAATAAATATAATTAAAAATAATTATAAAAGTTGGTACCAGATGCCATAATTTTAAGCACTAAATGAGCTGATACTCAAAGTAATAAAAGTCTGTAGTTGATATTAAGTAAAAGAGCAACTCTGAAATGTGACTTGAATAGAAGAGTAATATAGAAATATATCAACTTTGAGGCTTTCAAAAATAAGCCTAATGATATCCTTTAAAACTATAATCCTGGATTACTATATTAAATAATTCCAAATCAGTATTTTTAATAGCCTTTGGGTATTCATATGTTAGTATCATCAGAGAAGACTGTAGGGAGAGTAGTCTACAATGGTCAAAGATAGGTTGCAGAACAGTAGACTCCCCTTAAGTCTGCACAGGTATATGAAGAAGCTACCAAGGCTAAGAAAGAAATGCCAGAAAGGAACAGGGTAGCAATCCCTAGAGGTCTCCAGGGCTGAGCCATTTATTATTTCCCTTCCTTTTGGTTTTCAGAATGAGGAATTAGAATTCCAAATCCACATGGACAATAATGGTTTTTAGCTGCCTGAATTGCTTTACGATATGAACATAATACTTGGACTAATATCTAATATTTGAGGAACCTTCCTTATTTTCATCTATTGTCAAAAGAGACAGGATCCTTAAACTTACTGGAACACTAGCATTGAGGAGTGAAAAACTTTACAAATATATGAGCTCTGTATATTTAGAGAATGGGTGATATCTGATTCTTTTTTAAAAAAAAAAAGAGAGAAGAGAGAGAGGGGGGGGGGAATTCCTTAATATTTATTTTTTAGTTTTCGGCGGACACACATCTTTGTTTGTATGTGGTGCTGAGGATCGAACCCAGGCCGCACGCATGCCAGGCAAACGCGCTACCGCTTGAGCCACATCCCCAGCCCGATATCTGATTCTTAATGACAGCCTTGAGATAGATGGAACCAAATACTCTGTAAGTGCATTAGAAAAGTGGGTTAAGGCTGACATCTGTAAGGTAACATGGTGTGGATGCTAGAAAGTGAAAATAACAACCATACTAGCCTGGTATGTGAAAATCAATATTTACCTGTTCTTTTAAAGTAAGGCTTTTCTTCCCAGCAAGCATTTAGTTCTGTACACAGTCATTGCTTTCAGAGAGGGTCTGGGATAGACCCCTGCTTACACCCTTGCTTACATATTTTATGTGTTACCTAATAGATGTGAGAGGGAATCTCTGGGTCAAAGCATACAGATCTCTAGGACATACTACCAGAACTGAAGTGTAGCCTAGGTACTCTAGACACCCAGATCATCAGATCAAATAGAAACTATTTTGTTCCCTTCCCTTAAGACTTCTTTGGGGTTTAGCTAAAATCATTTTTAATGCCTTACCTCTTAGAACAAAGCCTTTTATTTTGAGTGTAATGAATAAAGAAGGAAGACTTCCCCCAATGTATCTGATGTATTTGATCATCTACCTGGTGGCCTACCTTTTCACCAGCCTGGTCTCAGGATAAGATGTTTTCACCAAAGTATAGGTGTGGCTGGCAATAAATGTGTTCTTTGGCAACATGATTTGGCAGTTCTGGGTACTTGCCAGACAATTATGCTTCAGAGAAAGCTAGAATAATGGAGTCTGGTATGGAGGCAGTACCCAGACCAACAGGATGCAGGAGATCTAATTTATTACCAGGATTGATATATTTTATGACATGTTCCTTCCACTAGGTCACCTAAAGCAAGACTTTGCCATTTAATGTGCTCTTCTCCCAAGGTGGTTGTGTTGTCTGTGATAGTCTCATTCCTAAATGGTTTGTTTTCTCATAAGGCCCACTAATGGAAGCTAGAGCTCACTTTAAATTAGCTTTGCCATTTCATGTCACCTACTAAGCTATATTCTATGTTCTGTTCTGTAATTTTTCTATACTATTACCTTATTTTGTTGACTATATTCTATTATATTATGGAATAAGCACGTTCAGATTTACCCTTCCATCTTCTAAAACTAAAAAAAAAAAAAAAAATGAAACAATATATGAAGTGAATGTTTTTAGATTTGAGACAATAAGCAGCATGAGACAGTGATCCTTGAATGAAGGGAAACAAATGACGTACAGTGCCAGGAGGTTTCCAGGCTGCGTTACAATGAAAGGAACCTAAATAGAGGCCAGCAGTCCCCCTGAAGAGAAGAGAGAGAGTTGAAAGTGTGGAGAACAGGGAGGACAGAGTTCCAGAGATCAGAAAGGAATATGGCCAGTAATTCCTAGAGTTACTCAGGGCTAGGAACTATTTGTTTCCTCTAGCCAAAGAGATAAGATCTCTTTACACACAGGGCAGCAAGTAGGCAGGCCCCAAACAGATATTGTTTTAGTTGTGGGGGACCAGTGGCCTTACACTACGTTTGTTATGGACCCACCTTATAAAGCTTTAAAAGCAGTCTTATTTCAGGTAAATTAGCTATGCCTTAAAACAAAGTCCAAAAATATTTAATAAAAATCTTGACCTAAGAGCACAAAATTCACTGTTTAGCCAAAGGAAAACTACCAGCATGCAAGAAAGCAAGAAAATATAGCCCATAATGAGAATAAAGCAAGAATCAATCAATAGGAACAGATCTAGAAATGATACGAAATGTAGGATAAGACACAAGGATGTTAAAACAGCTATTATAAATATACTCTCATATGTTCAAGAAGATAAATAAAAGCATGACTGTGATAAGGAGAGATATGGAAGATAGAAAAAAGACCAAATTCACATAATACATTGAAAAATACATTGGATAGACTTCACAACAGATTAGCACTGCAGAAGACAAGATTAGTGTACCTGAAAACAGCAATAGAGAGCTGCATGCTGGTGACTACCAGATTCGTAACCTCTGCCCAGAACTCCAGATTCACATATTCAACTGACTACTTGACATCTGACACCTTCAATAACTTAGAGGCATCTTAAATTTAACACTTCTAAACCTGAACTGATAATGCGCCCTTCCCTCCATTGCTTGCCTATCTCAATAAATTGCAATTCATCCTTGCAGTTGCTCAGTCCAAAAACCTTGAATTTATCCTTGATTTCTCACAGTTACCATATCCAATTCCTCAGCAAATCCCCCCAATTCATGTCTTTCAAGTCTTTTCCTGTCAGCTTCTCAGTAAGCCCCTAACTACCCTATCTAAACTTTCAGTACCTCCCCCAAAATTTCTCATGTCCTTGCTTTATTTTTATTTCTTAGCACTTATACCTAATATATCATTTACGTATGTATTTTATTTTTTATTTAACTCTTAAATAAAAAGTTTTTGTAACTCTTAAAATAAAAAAAAATTAAAAAAGAGAGTAGGGATTTTTTTCATTTTCTTGCACAACTATTTCCTCAGTGCATAGAACAGTAACTAGTACATAATAGGTGCTCACTCAGTTAATAATAAGTGAACAAATGAAACACAGTTGATACCTTAGCCTAAACACATTCACTGTGATTCTTTTCCTTTGTTCAAATATTTATTTAATAAATATTTGTTTGGCACATAGGAATATCTTAATTGCTATTTTTCAAGTAGATGAAGCGAGTATCTACCACATGTCAATGCTGCTTTAGTTGTTGTTGAATTAAAGACCAGCAACTCAGAAGTAGATGTGTTTCTTTAAAATGACATATAGAAAGCAGTGTGTGAAGCAGAAATGTGTGTGAAGCAAGTTGAAGGATTCAAGAAATGATGGGAAAGGTATTCCAACTAGAATAGCAGGAAAAAAGGAAAAAAGAAAAGTGAGTATTTGCTGTGGGAAAACCAAACTGAGTAGAACAAAAGATCCATATTAGGAGTTCCTTCATTACTTCTATAAACATCAATTGAACAATTAATACATGATAAGTACTGAGTTAGTTGCTGTCCAGAAGCTTTATACTCAATTGGGTAAACATATAACCTTCAATACAGCATATCAGTTGTTAGAATCCAAGCCATCCCTGGGTTCCATCTGTGGGAAGGCAGAGTAGCAGCATCTACAACTTTGTGAACTGAAGCTACTAGACGAAGATACCTAAGCTCTCATTTAAAATTTTCACTGTAGCCCAAACTATGGCACTAAATCAGGTCTGTGCAGGAGATTACAAAAAGCTGTAGAGCAAGGGTTGTATATTTGAAAATCCCAAGAGTAGAAAGGAAAAGTGAAGAAAGAAGAAAAGGAGGAGAATATTGTCTTGTAATGGCCATAAAATTAGGATATTTAAAGAGTCAGGGGTGGTCAAGGAGCAGGTAAGAAAAGGATAAAAATGAGAAAAAGTACTTGAATTTGATGAGAATAGCCCAGAAAAATCTTTATAATTGCCATTTTAGGAGAACGGCAAGGAACAAAACCATATTGCAGCATCTATTAATTAAAATGCAGTTTTGAAATCTGAGGTTGTGGCTCAGTGGTAGAGCGCTCGCCTAGCACTTGCAAGGCCCTGGGTTTGATCCTCAGCACCACATAAAAAAAAGTAAACAAAATAAAGATACTGTGTACAACTATTAAAAAATAAAATATTTTTTAAAAATGCAGTTTTGAATAGATATCATGGCCATAAACCAAAATACTCTCTTTCATATAAGGGTATGCAAAGAACTATCTGACGCTTTGCTTTTCTTATCTGGTTAATAACTTCTGGTAATTTGCTGAAAACTAATTTTATTTAATGGCTATCAGTTCACTGTGTAGGCCATTTAACTTTCTATTAGAAACATAAAATATTATTGCAACAATAGTATACCACCTCTTGGTACAGTAAGAACTTTCCCTACTCCATGGTTACTTTTTTACCATTCTTTGTGTCATTGTGGCCAACTTTGTCTTTCTTTGTCAATGCAGGAAACCAAAGATAAACTCAAAGACACAACAACAAAGTTAACACAAGCAAAGGAAGAAGCAGATCAGATACGACAAAACTGTCAGGATATGATAAAAACATATCAGGTATGTTGAGCTTTTCAAGTAGATTGGTAATAAATTGTGGGAAGCCATTCTCGCACGTGATTTGAGTTACCTCCCTGTCTGGGTGTGAGGCACTTAGACACACTGTGTGTAATAAATTATACGAAATGTCAGTATTCCGGTTTCATTAAATTTCTGTATTGGCAATATCTGAAGTATAGAATGGATTTGATAGAACAGTTAAACAAGTTGCAGGTTAATTCCTCTGTTAAACTACCTGCTGCTTTGGATCTTATTAGAGCAGTTTTAACCAAGTGAAATTTGTAGAGAATGTCAGAAGGACAAAAATGCAAGGAAATTTAAAACTTTAAAGAAGAAACTACTTTCTATTATGTTATATAATATGCTATTCTTATTCATGCAAAATTGACTTTTAAAATCTTTCAATGCATTGTTCAATTTTAGGTACATAGCTGTATGTTTCACAATTAGTAAACTCAGCTGCAAAACTTTCTTAGCTTTTCAAAATATAAAGCTTTAAAAATCATCATTTTTTCCCTGTTTTCCTTCCATTAGGAGTCTGAAGAAATTAAATCAAATGAGCTTGATGCAAAACTTAGAGTCACAAAAGGAGAACTTGAAAAACAAATGCAAGAAAAATCTGACCAGCTAGAGGTGAATACTTTTGCTCTTTGAATATCTTAGACTATGTAGTAAATACAGAAAGAGAGACAGAGTAGGTGTTGTTATCTACTTTTAAAGCCTTTTGGAACAAGTAGGCGATAAGTTTTAGATGTAGTTTAGTGCATTATGATTTGTGGTTTCTTTTAAAGATGCATCATGCCAAAATAAAGGAACTGGAAGATCTGAAGAGGACCTTTAAAGAGGGTATGGATGAACTGCGAACACTGAGGACAAAGGTAATCAAATCTTTAGTTATGACTCCAGAGGAAGAAGGGTAAATATCTTTAACTTTGGATTTACTCTGATTTTTGAAGGGGTGGGGAAAAGGTAGTTACATAGAAATTTTTTCAAAATAGCTGAATGCAGTGGCCCACACCTATAATTCTAACTACTTGAGAGACTAGGCAAGAAGATTGCAAGTTCAAGGCTAGTATGGGCAACTTAGTGAGACCCTGTCTCAAAATAAAAAATAAAAAGGGCTAGGGGTGGAGCTCAGTGGTAGATAGATCACTCTTGGTTTCAATTCCCAGTATTGCAAGGAAGAAATGAAGGAAGGGAGGGGGGAAGGAGAAGTAGGAAGGAGAGAAAGAGAAAGGGAGATAAAAGAAATTTTATAAAATAAAAAAATAAATAAAAGAACTCAGAGGAGCACAATAGCAATTCTCTGGTAATATAATTGACTTTCATTGAAATGAAAGTATATTCCATGTTAATTTCTTTGAAGTATTTGCCAAACATTTGTATTCCATTCCATATTTGCTGTGATTATAACTTATCCTTGGGCCTTTGATCTAAAGATTGTTGTTTTAGCAAATCATTTGGAAAGATAGTTGAATCTAAGAACTATGAGTGCCAGAAAATAGTAAGAAAACTATCTGTTTCTCCTTGGGTATATTTAATTGTCTTAGTTGGGTAAAGATTGCATTTCTAACAGCCTGTTAAATCTCTTCCACTGTTTGAAGTCTTTAATTGTCATGGTAATGTCCCTTACCTTTTAATATGATTATGAATAATATTATATATTATCACAGGTATCATAATCGGCCTTTCAGTTACCACTTTGAATCTGGAATCACCTAATAATTTTCAAAGAGTTTTTCATATACCTTCCTATTTGTTCTCCATGTCAGTTATTTGAAGTAGTTGGGGAAGATAGATCCTTTTTTTTTTTTTCAGATGAATAAATGAAAATTAGTAAAAAATAAAGTGACATGCTTAAACTCTCATGACTGAATCACCAGAAATCTGCATTTGAAATCTAGGACATTAACTTCCTATTGTATTTTCTTCATATGAACTAATACTGCTTTAGAATTAAGCCTTGATTTCTAATATGTAACCACTATCTGAAATAGTTTATAAGGAATAAGAAAATATTATTTGTAGTTTAACTTGGTTACGATAATTTAATAGGCAAAATGTCTAGAAGATGAACGATTAAGAACAGAAGATGAATTGTCGAAATACAAGGAAATTATTAATCGCCAAAAAGCTGAAATTCAGAATTTATTGGATAAAGTGAAAATTGCAGATCAGATACAGGATCAGCTTCAAAGGTACAAAATTAACAACATCTCTGTGTTGATAAACAAGCTTTTTACTTCTATTTCAAGATTATATTTTTAAATGGAATTATTGCGTGAAGAACAATTTTTACAGTTTTACTAGCTACAATTCAAAATTTTTCTCTCTTCACTTGAACTTTTTTGGACTATATTTGAGCTCCCACAATGGATTATAAAAATCAAAGTTTATATTCCCTAATATAATTTGCAATAACAATTTATAAGACAGATTGGTTTTATTTAGTTTCTTCAACTTTGAAATTCCATTAACTATGTAGAATACTTTTTTCCTTCTAAAAGGTAAATCTTGAAGAGTATCAAAATCTAGATTTTTGAATGTGCATTGCTTTTAATGTAATGAGTTGACATTATTCCTTGTCTTCTTATAAAACTGTGTAACTAAGCTCCATTTCTGGCATTACCTTGCAGAGCCTCAGTTGAGGTTGAATTCAAACAGTGTCTTCTTTTTTGCACCTCACACACACCCAAGGTGCTGAAGTAATTTCAACCATCATCCAGATTGACACCACAGAAGTTCATGGTCACTGACCTCAATTAGGAATATTTATGCATTTCTGTTCCTACTACATGTCTTTGATCGGAGCCTTCTACCCAATTCTCTTAGCATCTCTTCTAAACTTGATCACTTTCCTCACTTTTCAGATTTCCCCTTTACCCCTCTACTCCTGGCAAATGATTGCTTCTTTATAGAAAAAAAATAGAAGTTGTCGGATGACAATATTCTCATCATCTTGCTATTAGTCCTTTGAACTGCCCATATCTGCATTCTTTCTTTCCTTTGCTTCTGTTATGGAAGAAATGTTCCTGCTCCTCTCTGACCTAATTTTTCTTTCTATTTCTGTTGTGGATCCATGCTCTTCTGCCTTCGCAAGGCCTTTCTTGATTATTCCTTTTTTATCCCACCCATATCTCTTATATATCTCTGCTGACTTTCCTTTTCTTTCTGTATTTAAATATGATCATATTTTTAAAAAATCAAAACTCTTTGGATCTTCCTCTACCAATGTATTTTTCTCCTTTTCACAAACTTTTGATAGAATTTGCTGTACTCATCAGCTGAAGGACATCTAGGTTGCTTCCACAGTTTAACTATTGTGAACTGTGCTGCTATAAACATTGATGTGGCTGTGTCCCTGTAGTATGCTGTTTTTAAGTCCTTTGGGTATAGACTGAGGAGTGGAATAGCTAGGTCAAATGGTGGTTCCATTCCCAGTTTTCCAAGGAATCTCCATACTGCTTTCCATACTGGCTGGACTAATTTGCAGTCCCACCAGCAATGTACGAGTGTGCCTTTTTCCCCACATCCTCACTAACACTTATTGTTGTTTGTATTCTTAAGAGCTGCCATTCTGACAGAAGTGAGATGAAATCTTGATGTAGTTTTGATTTGCAGGTCTCTAATTGCTAGAAATATTGTACATTTTTTCTTTTTTTTATTGTTGGTTGTTCAAAACATTACAAATTTCTTGATATATCATCTTTCACACTTTGCTTCAAGTGGGTTATGAACTCCCATTTTTAGCCCATATACAGATTGCAGAATCACATCAATTACACATCCATTGATTTACATATTGCCATACTAGTGACTGTCATGTTCTGCTACCTTTCCTATCCTCTACTATCCCCCCTCCCCTCCCCTCCCCTTCCCTCTTCTCTCTCTACCCCCTCTACTGACCTTCATTTCTCCCCCTTGTATTATTTTTCCCTTTCCCCTCATTTCCTCTTGTATATTCTTTTGTATAACCCTGAGGGTCTCCTTCCATTTCCATGCAATTTCCCTTTTCTCTCCCTTTCCCTCCCACCTCTCATCTCTGTTTAATGTTAATCTTCTTCTCATGCTCTTCGTCCCTACTCTGTTCTTAGTTACTCTCCTTATATCAAAGAAGACATTTGGCATTTGTTTTTTAGGGATTGGCTAGCTTCACTTAGCATAATCTGCTCTAGTGCCATCCATTTCCCTGCAAATTCTATGATTTTGTCATTTTTTAATGCAGAGTAATACTCCATTGTGTATAAATGCCACATTTTTTTAATCCATTCGTCTATTGAAGGGCATCTGGGTTGGTTCCACAGTCTTGCTATTGTGAATTGAGCTGCTATGAACATCGATGTAGCAGTGTCCCTGTAGCATGCTCTTTTTAGGTCTTTAGGGAATAGACCAAGAAGGGGAATAGCTGGGTCAAATGGTGGCTCCATTCCCAGCTTTCCAAGAAATCTCCATACTGCTTTCCAAATTGGCTGCACCAATTTGCAGTCCCACCAGCAATGTACAAGTGTACCCTTTTCCCCACATCCTCGCCAGCACTTGTTGTTGTTTGACTTCATAATGGCTGCCAATCTTACTGGAGTGAGATGGTATCTTAGGGTGGTTTTGATTTGCATTTCTCTGACTGCTAGAGATGGTGAGCATTTTTTCATGTACTTGTTGATTGATTGTATGTCCTCCTCTGAGAAGTGTCTGTTCAGGTCCTTGGCCCATTTGTTGATTGGGTTGTTTGTTATCTTATTGTCTAATTTTTGGAGTTCTTTGTATACTCTGGATATTAGGGCTCTATCTGAAGTGTGAGGAGTAAAGATTTGTTCCCAGGATGTAGGCTCCCTATTTACCTCTCTTATTATTTCTTTTGCTGAGAAAAAACTTTTTAGTTTGAGTAAGTCCCATTTGTTGATTCTAGTTATTAACTTTTGTGCTATGGGTGTCCTATTGAGGAATTTGGAGCCCGACCCCACAGTATGTAGATCGTAGCCAACTTTTTCTTCTATCAGACGGCGTGTCTCTGATTTGATATCAAGCTCCTTGATCCATTTTGAATTCACTTTTGTGCATGGCGAGAGAAAGGGATTCAGTTTCATTTTGTTGCATATGGATTTCCAGTTTTCCCAACACCATTTGTTGAAGATGCTATCCTTCCTCCATTGCATGCTTTTAGCCCCTTTATCAAATATAAGATAGTTGTAGTTTTGTGGATTGGTTTCTGTGTCCTCTATTCTGTACCATTGGTCCACCCACCTGTTTTGGTACCAGTACCATGCTGTTTTTGTTACTATTGCTCTGTAGTATAGTTTGAAGTCTGGTATCGCTATACCGCCTGATTCACACTTCCTGCTTAGCATTGTTTTTGCTATTATAGGTCTTTTATTTTTCCATATGAATTTCATGATTGCTTTCTCTATTTCTACAAGAAATGCTGTTGGGATTTTGATTGGCATTGCATTAAACCTATAGAGAACTTTTGGTAATATCTCCATTTTGATGATGTTAGTTCTGCCTATTCATGAACAGGGTATATTTTTCCATCTTCTAAGATCTTCTTCTATTTCTCTCTTTAGGGTTCTGTAGTTTTCATTGTATAAGTCTTTCACGTCTTTTGTTAGGTTGATTCCCAAGTATTTTATTTTTTTTGAAGATATTGTGAATGGAGTGGTTGTCCTCATTTCCATTTCAGAGGATTTGTCGCTGATATACAGGAATGCCTTTGATTTATGTGTGTTGATTTTATATCCTGCCACTTTGCTGAATTCATTTATTAGCTCTAATAGTTTCTTTGTAGAGCCTTTTGGGTCTGCTAGGTATAGAATCATATCATCTGCAAATAGTGATAATTTAAGTTCTTCTTTTCCTATTTTTATGCCTTTAATTTCTTTCGTCTGTCTAATTGCTCTGGCCAGTGTTTCGAGAACTATGTTGAACAGAAGTGGTGAGAGAGGGCATCCCTGTCTTGTTCCAGATTTTAGAGGGAATGCCTTCAATTTTTCTCCATTCAGAATGATGCTAGCCTGAGGCTTAGCATAGATTGCTTTTACAATATTGAGGTATGTTCCTGTTATCCCTAGTTTTTGTAGAGTTTTGAACATAAAGGGATGCTGTACTTTGTCGAATGCTTTTTCCGCATCTATCGAGATGATCATATGGTTCTTATTTTTAAGTCTATTGATGTGGTGAATAACGTTTATTGATTTCCGTATATTGAACCAGCCTTGCATCCCAGGGATGAATCCTACTTGATCATGGTGTACAATTTTTTTGATATGTTTTTGTATCCGATTCGCCAGAATTTTGTTGAGGATTTTTGCATCTAGGTTCATTAGAGATATTGGTCTGTAGTTTTCTTTCTTTGAAGTGTCTTTGTCTGGTTTAGGTATCAGGGTGATGTTGGCCTCATAGAATGAATTTGGAAGTTCTCCCTCTTTTTCTATTTCCTGAAGTAGCTTGAAAAGTATTGGTATTAGTTCCTCTTTAAAGGTTTTGTAAAATTCTGCTGTATACCCATCTGGTCCTGGGCTTTTCTTAGTTGGTAGTCTTTTGATGGTTTCTTCTATTTCCTCGATTGATATTGGTCTGTTTAGGTTGTCTATATCCTCCTGACTCAATCTGGGCAGATCATATGACTTCAGAAATTTATCGATGCCTTCACTGTCTTCTAATTTATTGGAGTATAAGGATTCAAAATAATTTTTGATTATCTTCTGTATATCTGAAGTGTCTGTTGTGATATTGCCTTTTTCATCCCGTATGCTAGTAATTTGAGTTTTCTCTCTTCTTCTCTTCGCTAGCATGGCTAAGGGTCTGTCGATTTTGTTTATTTTTTCAAAGAACCAACTTTTAGTTTTGTCAATTTTTTCAATTGTTTCTTTTGTTTCGATTTCATTAATTTCAGCTCTGATTTTAATTATTTCTTGCCTTCTACTTCTTTTGCTGTTGTTTTGCTCTTCTTTTTCTAGGATTTTGAGATGAAGTATGAGATCATTTATTTGTTGTTTTTTTCTTTTTTTAAGGAATGAACTCCAAGCAATGAATTTTCCTCTTAGAACTGCTTTCAATGTGTCCCATAGATTCCGATATGTTGTGTCTGTGTTTTCCTTAATCTCTAAGAATTTTTTAATTTCCTCCTTGATGTCTTCTATAACCCATTGATCATTCAGTAACCTATTGTTCATTCTCCAAGTGATGTATGCTTTTTCCTTCC